CGAGTTCGCAACAGCAACAACCCCAGCCCTCGATAGATGCACCCCATCACGAGCATACATTTCATTTCTTCCATAGAAGTGTTCCCAGTTGTCTATGAAAGATATTGCATTTGATTTGCAATATCTTTCCAGCCGGCAATTGACACCAAGTGCCCTTGACATCCATTCATTTCCCACTCCCTTTCTTGGAAGAATGCCACATATGATCGGGATTCCTCCCTTGCTCCTAACTAATTCAATGGCTGTCCTGAATCTCTGTATTAGTTCCTCACTCCTAACTCGTCCAACATCATTACCCCCTGCACTAATACAAATAATGGGTTTGTTCCCATTTCCTGTCATAATATCATTCATGTTTCCAACAATATCACCAATTCCAGCTCCCGGATAGCAAACCCTTAATCTGTTCCCCCTATCTCTGGCACAAAACGTTCTGTCTAAATACCTCACCTGGGAATCTCCCACAACCAAAATTCGCTTCGATTCTCCCTTTTCCTTTCGAGCAGTTTGAGGGACCTGCGCTTTAATGCTCCTCGTTACTTTGTCTTTGCCACCTCGTTGAACAACAGGTTCAACACAGCACTCGTCCTCTAATACGTCAAATGCATTAAAAGTCCTTAGGTGTAGGCTATTAGTTGTCGGTTTTGCCAAGGTCTTCTTAAGACCCCTGTCTTTCACAACTTGCCAAGACGAGGACTTCTTAATACTGGTCCCGTCAGTCCTTCTTAATGAGGTCCCGTCAACACTGGCCCCCTCCCTCGCCTCCTCCCGAAGTCCCAGCCGTCGCACCTCCTCCCGCAGGGAATTCAGGCAGAGTGCCAGAATCATGGAAGGTAGCTAATGTGGTACCAATTTTTAAGAAAGAAGATAGATCACTTGCGTCAAACAATCGGCCAATTAGCCTAACGTCTATTGTGGGAAAGTTACTTGAATCAATAATTGCAAATACAATTCGTCTCCATCTTGAAAAGCATAAATTAATAAATGAGTCGCAACATGGTTTTACCAATTGCCGTTTATGTTTAACAAATTTGCTAACTTTTTATTCCAGCATAGTTGAGGCAGTTGATAGTGGTAAGGATTGTGATGTTGTGTACCTTGACTTTAGCAAAGCTTTTGATACAGTGCCACATGAAAGACTAATTAAAAAATAGAAGCTCATGGTATTGGGGGTGCTATATTAACTTGGATTTGGGCATGGCTATTCCAAAGGAAAGAGAGAGTTAGCATAAATGGGGTTAAGTCAGAGTGGGATAATGTTGTTAGTGGAGTACCTCAGGGCTCTGTCCTGGGACCTCTGTTGTTTATAATATATATAAATGATTTAGATTCAGGTTTGAGTAGCATTTGCAAATTTGCCGATGATACGAAAATCGGTAGGGAAATTAATTCGGAGGAGGACTCACTATCACTTCAAGTTGATCGAGATAGGATTTTGAAATGGTCAAAGGATTGGCAAATGCAGTTTAATGCTGATAAATGTAAAGTTCTGAGGCTAGGTAATGATGATAGAGGTACAAGATACGAGCTAGATGGTGTTGAGATTGCGAAGTCGGATTGCGAAAGGGATCTGGGAGTTATGATTAGTAAGAATTTAAAACAAAAGGATCAATGCATGAATGTTCGTAATAAGGCGAATAGGACACTGGGATTTATTAATCGAAGCGTTAGTAACAAGACACCTGGTGTGGTTCTCAAGCTATATCTTGCTCTAGTTAGGCCCCATTTAGATTATGCAGTTCAGTTTTGGTCGCCATATTATAGAATGGATATAAATTCACTTGAACGTGTCCAGCGTAGGATGACTAAGTTAATTCCCCAAATTAGAAATCTTTCATATGAAGAAAGATTAACAAAGCTTAAGTTGCATTCACTGGAAAGGCGAAGAGTTAGGGTGACATGATAGAGGTTTACAATGGGTGAATGGACATAACAAAGGGGATATTAATAGGGTATTAAAAGTATCAACACAAGACAGAACACAAAACAATAGGTATAAATTGGATAAGTTACTTTTTTAACAGGGTTGTTGATTTGTGGAACCAATTGCCGCGTAACATTGTGGAGGTGGGGTCCCTCGATTGTTTCAAGCATGGGATGGACATGTATATGAGTGGGATTGGGTGGTTATAAATAGGAGCTGCCTCGTATGGGCCAATAGGCCTTCTGCAGTTGCCTTTGTTCTTATGTTATGTGAACCTCTATGTTGACCAATCCACACACTAGAAAATGAAGGAACGACGACGTTTCGGTCCGTCCTGGACGATATTCAAGACCATTCTCACAATCGACTTGAGAATGATTCAGGACGGACCGAAACGTCGTCGTCCTTTCATTTTCTAATGTGTGGACTGGTCAACATACTTCAGCCACGTTATTGTGACTCATCGCCTGCATATGAACCTCTATAGTTTTAATCAGTCTTTCGTGTGGGACTCTATCAAAAGCTTTGATAAATTAGTGGTATGCAATGTTACAGTGCTTTGCACTATCAACTGCCTCACATATGCTGGAATAGAATGAAAGACAAATTTTCAAATATGACCGGCCCGTTTCGTTACCCAGAAAGACCTGGGTAAATACAGGTTCATAAGAACAAAGGTAACTGCAGAAGGCCTATTGGCCCCTATGAGGCAGCTCCTATTTATAACCACCCAATCCTACTCATATAAATGTCCATCCCACGCTTGAAACAATCGAGGGACTCCACCTCCACTACGTTTCGTGGTAATTGGCTCCACAAATCAACAACCCTGTTACCGAACCAATATTTACCCAAATCTTTCCTAAATCTAAACTTATCCAATTTATACCCATTGTTTCATGTTCTGTCTTGTGTTGATACTTTTAATACCCTATTAATATCTCTCTTTATTATGTCCATTCATCCTCTTGTTAACCTCTATCATGTCTCCTTTAACTTTTCGCCTTTCCAGTGAATGCAATTTAAGCTTTGTTAATCTTTCTCCATATGAAAGATTTTTAATTTGGTGAATTAACTTTGTCATCCTACGCTAGACAAGTTCAAGTGAATTTATATCCATTCGGTAACAGAGTAGTTGTTACCACGTAACGTGGTATAGGTGGAGTCCCATAATTGTTTTAAACATTGGGTGGACATGTATGTAGTGGGATTGGGCGGTTATAAATAGGAGCTGCCTCGTAGGGGCCAATAGGTCTTCTGCAGTTACATTTATTCTTCTGTTCTTATGGTAATGCATGAGTCAAACATACGCGAACCTTAGTAAATCGATGTTGGGAAGCCATAGCTGATGGACGAGAGCATAATGCGATTTTACAACTCCTGAAATTATTTACTTGAATATTTTTCTATTGTCTGCAAATTTGCAAATGCTGCTTTTAAATTTTATCAAAAGAGCATTGACACATAAAAAACAGCAAGGGTGCGTTGATAGAGCCACGAGGCACATCACATCACTTACTTTGGCAGAACCTCGAGGCACTTATCCACCACTTTTAATTGCAATAATCGTAAATTAATAATCGTGTCTTCCACTCGGATTTAGTTCCATTGATGCAATCTCCCTGTTATTTTAAACAACCAAATTCATATATTACTATTGATACCCGACATTCTTCATCGTCTGAGTTAAAAAATCTTCTTGATTTAATTTGTATTATTTGCATGTTTTCAGCTAGTGAAATGTGATAGCTATAAAGTATGTAGAATTTAAGAATGTTTTTAATAAACTTTTCTAGGAAGACTACTTTATAATATACAAGCACGACTTTAAAAAGTACAAGCACGTCAAGCATATATATGCACATAAAAAATATACGTTCACTGCCATGAACTTAGACAGTTACAAAGTTAGGTATGAGGAAGAAAACAACTTGAAGATTTCAATTAAAATGCATCAAGTTGGACAGACGTTTCAAGAGGTTGGCCCCAAGGATCCATCCTGGGACCAGATTGCTTTAGATTTACATAAATCATATTAATTATTGTTATTGCTGTACAATATCTAAATTTGCTTAGGGTGCTAAAGTGGAGAGCAAAGATATAACTCTAATGCCTCGACAAATGGCTGACACTTTAAATTGAAATAATCGTAAACTAATAATCTTGACAAATGTGAACAGGCAAACTACTAGTAAACATCACAGAGCTGATGACAGCAAATGAAGGAAGTGACCTACCTGGGTGTTTGAGTGACTTATGATCTACAGCAAAGTAGAGATGTAGAGTACAAGGAGTGTCAAAAAAATCTTTGGGTTTTCATTGGTAGAAATTTAAAGTAAATTCTGAGTAACAATTTAAAACAATGATACTTAAAAGTCAGCACCAGTTTATTATTATGTTTAACTGGGGAGATCTTTCCAGGTTCGATTGTTGAAAATGAATCTGTATATTTCACTATTACATATTATAATATTATATTACACACCATATTTGAGAAAACGTGTTGATAAATTAGACGTGTTATACGTCGAACAATAAAAGTGGCACGACAACTTCGAAAACAATAAGAGTGACAAGACAACTTCGAACAATAAATCATACGATGGTGGTTTCGAAGAGAAACACTACTTTAGTGTTCTTGAGCCATATCCCATCTCACCTCACCCCCTGCATGAGACTCCCTCACACAATATATATGTTTGTGAAGGAATCATCAAGGAATCCAGTCAGCAACAAACAGACTACGAGGCAAGGTGAGTAGTGGGAAGCTTATTACATCCCGGATGTAATTGGATTTGTTTTCTTAGCTTTAATTCATAATTGTGTTATTAACACAGTCCATCGTGTGTTATTTTATGTTAAATTTTGTTTAAAATGGTCCTTGTGTACAAGTTATTGCTTCTGGTCCCATATTAGTCCAGGATTTGCAGTCTGCAAAGTTACATGAAACTGTTTTGACTTAATGCAATTACATTTTTATCAGTCTAATATAAGACTATATAATTTCAGATTTGTATGTAGTTTCAAGCCATATATGCTTGTGTTTTATTAAAATAAACACTTTCTTTACCACCAGATGAAGTTCTTGGCAGCATCAGTGTTGATTGCCGCTTTAGCTGTAATATCTGCAGAACGTTTCTATTCAGTTGTGTTGGAAGAATGGGAGACATTTAAGGTAAGAACGTAAACAGAATTTATTAATATAAGTTAGTATGTTTCAAAATAGAGTTTTTGGAGTTATGTAGTGTAACTATAGCAATCATTTGACATTGCACGGAAAATTTAAAGCACCCCGTTTTCTGAGTGGCTGATTTTAGGAAATATTGGCTTACTTACTTTGAATTCAATACAAACATTCTGACCAATGGTCACTCCAGCATAATGATTGCTGAAGTCAATTATTAAGCACAGATGGCCTTAGATAGAGCCCTGCATTTATCAACCACTAAAAATTTAAGCGAAGTTAGAGATAATGGATGCTACTTGTGGAGTGCCATATGCATTTGTACTTTGCCCACGATTTTTCAAAATTTGTATAATTCTTTTCACTACCGTTGCTGTTGTAGTTACCAGTAATAATCTTATGCTGCTCCATATATGCCGTTTATGAAGAGCTTTTCTTATCAATAATTGATTTTCTTTTAGCTTGAATATGCCAAGAAATACACCACCGATGTCGAAGACAAATTCCGCATGAACATCTTCATGGAGAACAGACACAAGATTGCTGCACACAACAAACTGTTTGCAACAGGACACAAACCATACAGGCTCAGAATGAACAAGTATGGTGACATGGTAAGGAGAATGAATCTCTCATGATTTAACATTGTCCTTTATTTCCTTCACATCTTTACACATCTTTATTTCCTTCGGAACAACAATACCCATATATTCGATGTCAGCCTAATGAAAATATATTTATGTTACGAAATAAAATGTAAAATATTTCTTACAGCTTCAGGAGGAGTTTTTGTCAACAATGGCTGGTTTCCATAAGAACCACACAGAAAGATATACATTAAACAGCAAGTACAATGGTTCCCATTACATTGAGCCAGATGATGATGTTGTCCTTCCCAAGACTGTTGACTGGAGAGAGAAGGGAGCAGTCACCCCAGTAAAGGACCAGGGACACTGTGGATCATGCTGGGCCTTCTCAGCTGTGAGTATTATCATCACCCATCTTTAATTAATTTGAAAATTAAATGGTCAATGACACCAGAAGTAATTTTTAAATTAATATGTGCACAAATTATTATTTCAGATAAGCTAAAAATAATTTTGCATGTAATATAATTTATTGAGTTTTGTTAGCATAAAAATTTGTTCAGTCATATTCTTGAAACGTTTGCTTACGATTTAAATTAGTTACCTTTTACCTCAGTGGCAATCTTACTGAAAAACATAAATAAGTGCAGATATTTCTCATTATGTTTGTGTGGTTCACAGACTGGGTCCCTGGAAGGTCAACACTTCCGCAAGACTGGTAAGCTGGTGAGCCTCTCTGAGCAGAACTTGATCGACTGTTCCGCCAAATATGACAATGATGGTTGTGGCGGAGGACTGATGACCGCTGCTTTCAAGTACATTGAGGACAATGGTGGGATTGACACTGAGGAGGCCTATCCATATAAGAAAAAGGTACACTCAGTTCTATAATTTTCTTTTGCGTCTCTTAAAGTCACTGACAATACATTATTATGTTGACTGGAATGATGATTAAGAAAGAATAATTTCTATGAATAATAGAATACAATACTATTGTTCTTATGAAGGCAATACATTGTCTTCATAAGCGATACCCATAAACAATGTGAAGATATACAATTTATTATTTGACGCATATTCAATCTGCTTTGCATATTTTTAATGCATTATTTTGTAACATTACTTTATTAGGAAGGAAAGTGTCAGTATAACCCGCAAGAATCTGGTGCTAGAGTGACTGGCTTTGTTCATATTCGTACGGGAAGTGAAGATGCTCTGAAGAAAGCTGTTGCCTCAGTTGGACCAATATCTGTTGGCATTGATGCCTCACATGGCTCAATCCAGTTTTACCACCATGGTAAGTTGTTTTGTTTTATGAGCATAGTATATTAGTGTGTGTGCGTCCATATAGAACATTATACAAAGTTTATCGTCATTATAAACATAAAATGTGCATCATGTGTGTATTTATAAACAATTTATATTTAATATGTTATTGTATATAAACACACGCACACAGCCATGTCAGCACTAGATGTCTGAGATCAGTCGGCAGAGTCAGTGGTGCTTACACTCACCATGTTGGCACTTGTCATTATTGTTTGTTCCATTTGATGCCATTGGTTTAGTATAAGATTATTTTAAAGGGTTATTTTATAATAATTATATATGAAATTTGCAAGTGATTTGTTAAACATTGTATTTTTAAGAATGAATATATATTACAGGTGTTTATGACGAGCCAGAATGTAGCACGACGGTCTGCCTCTTTCCCTCTTGTATAAACACTCGTAGAGGCCAATGTGAGGCATTGTTACTGCTGCCTCCTTCCCTCTTTGGTAAACTCGTAGAGGCCCGGTGAGGCAAAACTGCATCTCCAGACCTTTATAATTTCTAAATTATAATTAATGAACACAAAAATGCTAGCTTTAGAATTAATGATGTCCCCCATTTAGAATTATTGCTGTATGGGAAATCCACATTATTTTGAAAATTGATTGACATGAAAATTTAGTTAACCGCATTTTTTTCATTTTCATTTTTTTATTATTAATTATAAACAATATAATTTTGTTCTCAAATAATAAGATTAGTTATTCAGAATATAATTTTGTTCTCAAATAATAAGATTAGTTATTCAGAAGATATAGAAAATTGGCTATTTTAACTTGTTTCATAGACCATATATCTGATATCCTCTAATAACTGTACTCTATGATTCTCCTATTAGGATTTGTTGAGACCATATTCATCTGCTTCGATACCTTAAATTAAAACTTTAACCTTAATTAATTACACTTATTAACAATTTCGAGATTATTATGAGTCAATTACTGAATCGGCCATGTAAAATTGATCATGATCAAGTAAAATTATTAGACAAGTGTAGAAAGACAATGATATAATTGGTAAAATTCTCTGTTGTAAAATCCACATGGACTTTCAGGAAGCAATAGCTCATTTGACATATAGTTATGCTCTATGATTATAGCATTATTATGGTGGGAAATATACACATATCTAAAACATGCTTGTATAGAAAATGAAAGATTTAATCACTGTATGAAGTCAATGATGAAAACAAACTATGTAATAAACAACCAGGTAAAATAAAGGTGATATTAAAATTTATTGAGTTTCATAGTCCTAACAAGTTATCAGCTATAATATATAACATGACTTATATATGAGATATATTGCTAAACTCAGAACTTTTTACTTTAAATTCACGATTCATTCGAATATTTCTCGTATTCATCATCAGATATAGAATGCAGAAGTTAAATTAAAATTAAGCAGCATAACAAAGAACTCATTCTGGACAGGTTTATATACTGAAACATAAGGGATAACGTGACACTAGTTTCAAAAAGAACAAAACACACAGTTCAATTAACATACTAATAATACCCAAGTAAAATCTAATAATTATCCACGTCAATACCCAAAGATAATTCGATATTACAATTTTAAATACAAACTTTCAAAAACTTAAAGATAAGCCATGTAAAACAACATGTAGCTTACAGGTTAAACACTTTGTAAAATACATAAATATTACATTATACCAAATGGTATACTCTATTTCCTGTTTAAGCAAAAATAATGAAAAATAATGTTGTCATTCAAAATGAGTATAATTTTTATTTTATTTTTGAATTAGCAAAATTAGATATACACAGCAATGCTACCCTGCTTTATATTACTTGAAATTTACTTATATTACTTGAGATATTGTGAGATATTACACAGAGTGTGTAATATCTCTAAATAGACTAATCAAGAATTAGCTATAATTCTTGATTAGTGTATAATCGAGAATTAGCGATAGGTTTGACTATTTTTCCCATCTCACAGGATGGTTAGTCACACAGTTAATTAGGGAAACAAGCCTTCTTCCTTGAAGATCAGCATCCCTCCAAATGGATTACCAAGACTGCCAATGTGCTCAGAATGTATAACTTTCATCACCCCTACCAAGAGAGACAACAACACTTTCCTGTACCTAGTACCTCTAGGCTACAAGTACCTCTGGGAGTTTGTAACATCTGCTGATGTAGATTTGACTAAATGTAAACTCTTGTCAGCAGAACTATTCGCATACTTTGCGTCATTATATAATGGACTGTGAAAAAATTGCGGAATTTAGAGATAACACCATCAATAGTGTCCAAGAAATGTGTAAGTACTTCATTCATAATGATGTGCTGCCCGAAATCTTAGCGAAGTATCCAAAATTTGCTTACTGTAGGTAATGCATGCACATGACTGTAAAGCTGCCGCCCAGGTGGGTGGGTGTGCAGCAAGACTAGTAACTGTGTAACTCACAATAGATGTAAAGTGCCTTGTATAGTGACTGTTGTGAGCCTCTTGTAATGTCACTTGTGACACCTCTTTGTGTCACTTGTGACACAAAGATTATTTGTGTGGGTGATTAGATATGTATGTGTATATACGTATATATATATTTACATGTATGTATGAGGGAGTGTACATGTGTATACAACATTGATAATTTTGTAACTAGCGTCAAACATTGTTATTTGCTTAGCTAAACGAACTAGAGGGTTCAGGTCCTGAACCGATTATGTGCCTCTGTAATCCTTTACACCACCGCACACGGGATGGGTATGGGGTGCATAATAAAGAAAGAAATTGCATAGCTTACAGGTTAAACACTGTAAAATACATAAATATTATAATTATACCAAATGGTATACTCTATTTCCTGTTTAAGCAAAAATAATGATGAATAATGTTGTCATTCAAATTGAGTATAATTTTTATTATATTTTTGAATTAGCAAAATTAGATATACACAGCAATGCCCTGCTACCCTGTTTTATATTACTTGAAATATACTTATATTACTTGAGATATTGTGAGATATTACACAGAATGTGTAATATTTCTAAATAGACTAATCAAGAATTAGCTTTAATTCTTGATTTGTCAATAATCAAGAATTAGCGATAGGTTTGACTATTTTTCCCATCTCACAGGATGGTTAGTCACACAGTTAATTAGGGAGATAATACCTGTCTTAATACAAAAACAAACCAGCTCTGCAGGCGATGAGTCACAATAACGTGCCTGAAGTTTATAGCCAGCTGTTTAGTCAGAGCTGGTTTGTTGACCAGACCACACACTAGAAGGTGAACGGACTACGACGTTTCGACTTCGTCGTCCACAATCGACTTGAGAATGGTCCAGGACGGACCGTAACGTCGTCGCCCCTTCACCTTCTAGTGTGTGGTCTGATCAACATACCAGCTCTGGCTAAACAGTTGGCTATAAGTTCATCCAATATTTCCATCTCACAGGACGGTTACTCATACATGGAATCAGGGGAGAAAATATCAGCCTCAATAAAAATACAAATCCACTATGACTAAAAATCAGGTGAGAACATAAAATAAGGCTGATCTGTTATCCTACACTAGCAAAATTTGGGTACAACACAATAATATCTTCCAATATTCCTGAGTGTGTGAAGTAATTACAGAGCTCAAAGTACCTCATACCATTAGGTCTGAAGTCACTTATAATAGGGGAATCACAGATATAGTGTTGAAGAGTATGTCCCAGCTCTTGGTCATGTAGTTTACAATTAGAATGTTCACCATTGGGGGGACTCATTACCTGTAGCCACCTGCCGTAGATATCGATATCCCAGCCTAATTCTGGCCGTTATAATATCCCACTGTCTAGTGGATGCTTTATGCTGCCCGTACATATAATTTTCTGTTATAAACATGTCATAGCTCTTTATACTTTATAAAGAAATTGGAATGCCCATATCGAACTCAACTTCAGGCTGATCACATGCAGTTTTAGGTGCCTTGTCTGTGTCGTTATGCTGGACAACACCTATGTGAGATGGTATCCATACAAATGAGACTCTGAAGCTCTTGCTCTTTGCATTAATGATGTTGTTTATAATGGATTTTACAACATTTCTAGTATCTATATTGCATGTTAGGTTTTTAAGGGCCTGAAGAGCTGACTTTGAATCACAGAAAATTACTCCTCCCAACAAAAAAATGAGGTAGATTGCTTACAAGTACTCTCAGGTACTTTGAAAGTAATAATTTGCAATTTGAGACACAGGCAAAGTCAGGGGTACAATGGAGTAAGGGAGTATCGCGAGGCTAGGCAACCTAGGAAATAATGAAAGTAAAGAAAAAAAAGTTGAATAATAAACATAGGCAAATTTAATCCTAATGATAATTATCTAAAAATAGTTCAGTTAGGATCCTATAATAAATAAGAACTGCTCAGAAAGTTAAGGAGGTACCGAAGCGAATTTTGGTTGTGGGAGATTCCCAGGTGAGATATTTAGACAGAACGTTTTGTGCCAGAGATAGGGGGAACAGATTAAGGGTTTGCTATCCGGGAGCTGGAATTGGTGATATTGTTGGAAACATGGATGATATTATGACGGGAAATAGGAACAAACCCATTATTTGTATTAGTGCAGGGGATAATGATGTTGGGCGAGTTAGGAGTGAGGAACTAATACAGAGATTCAGGACAGCCATTGAATTAGTTAGGAGCAAGGGAGGAATCTCGATCATATGGGGCATTCTTCCAAGAAAGGGAGTGGGAAATGAATGGATGTCGAGGGCACTTGGTGTCAATTGCCGGCTGGAAAGATATTGCAAATCAAATGCAATATCTTTCATAGACAACTGGGAACACTTCTATGGAAGAAATGAAATGTATGCTCGTGATGGGGTGCATCTATCGAGGGCTGGGGTTGTTGCTGTTGCGAACTCGTTGGAACCAGTGGTTAGAGGTGTTTGTTTGGGTTTAAACTGTTAGTAGATAGTGGTATGGGAATTGATTTGGAGGAAGGAGGTAATAAAAGTATGTGTTCGTGGGAGAAAAGAATTGGCAAAATGATCAGGGAAAGAAAAGGGCCTCAAAATAACAATTCACTTAGGGTATATTACACTAACAGTAGAAGTCTAAGAAATAAAATTAACGAATTAAATGCTCTTGTCTGCACAGAAAAAATAGATATTATTGCACTTACCGAAACGTGGATGAATGTAGAAAATAGAGAACTATTAGCTGAATATCAAATAAATGGATTTAAACTATTTCACACAGATAGATATATTAGACGAGGAGGGGGAGTAGCCATATATGTTAGGGACAATTTGAAATGTAGTCTCAAAGAGGGAATCAAAACTGAGCCACACACAGAAACTATTTGGATAGAATTAAACGAAAAAGCAAATAATATTATAATAGGAGTTATATATAGGCCACCAAATTTAGACAGAATGGAAGCAAAGCATCTATGGGATGAAATATCTAGAGCATCTAGATCTAACAGTATTTGTGTCATGGGTGACTTTAATTTTAGTGGAATAAACTGGGTGAACAAAACAGGGAATAGTGAAGCAGAAGATTATCTAGAATTAATTGACGATTGCTTTCTTACGCAACACATTAAGGAACCAACGCGGGAAAATAATATTTTAGATTTAGTGTTAACTAACAGGGAAACACAAATTAATGACATCGAAATAGGGAGTGAGCTAGGGAACAGTGATCACAAAGTAATCAGATTTAGCATAGAATGGAATAGACCTGTAGGAGAAAATTCTGTTAAAGTGCCAGATTTTCGAAAAGCTGATTTTAATAGCCTAAGAATTTTTTGGGGTCAAATAGATTGGAAAGTTTTGGGTATGGGGTGTGGGCCGGTCTTGGAACGAGACATGAACCCAGAGATAGGTGACGTAAAACGGGATTTCGATGTGGATTTAATATATAACTTATTTAAGAATATTCTAAACAAAGCACAGGAACGTAGTATACCATACATAAGAACATAAAAACAAAGGTAACTGCAGAAGGCCTATTGGCCCATACGAGGCAGCTCCTATCTATAACCCCCCAATCCCACTCAATATACTTGTCCAACCCGCGCTTGAAACAATCGAGGGACCCCACCTCCACCACGTTACGCGGCAATTGGTTCCACAAATCAACAACCCTGTTACTGAACCAGTATTTACCCAAGTCTTTCCTAAATCTAAACATTTTTAATACCCTATTAATATCCCCCCTTAAGATATTAATAGAGACTTAATATAAATAGGGTTAAGACAGAGTGGGAAAATGTTGTACGTGAAGTGCCTCAAGACTCTGTCCTGGGACCTCTGTTTTTAACATATATAAATGATTTAGATTCAGGTTTGAGTAGCAACATCTGCAAATTTGCCAATGATACAAAAATCGGTAGGGATATATACACGGAAAAAGACCCACTATCACTTCAAATCTGTCTAAATAGGGTTTCGAAGTGGTCAAAAGAATGGCAGATGCAGTTTAATGCTGATAAATGTAACGTATTGTGGCTGGGTAATGATGATAGAGTTACAAGATACGAGCTGGATGGCGTTGAGATTAAACCAGCTCCAGATCAAAGCAAAACCTAATCTCAGAGGAGAATACATTCTGAGGCCTAAAGACGAGTCGGCCGCTACGATTCTAAAAAATTACGCAAAATGTGAGGAACTGAAACCAGAGGATAAAATAAGTAAAATCATTGTCCTCCACTATCCCTTGCATATGGCCCTTGGCCATCTCGAAAAGCTGAACTATGTGGTGTCAGCAGAGAGATGCCAAGTACGAACCACAAAACAGGAAACTCGACAAGTCCTTCTCACAGTAAGAGGACAGATCCCGGAGAAACTTGACCTTGGAATCTGGGGCGTGTTCCAACACAGGCCTTACACCCCAGAACCCCTAAGATGCTTCAGATGTCAGAGATTTGGGCATCACAAAGATTGCTGCCAACGCCCAGTGAGGTGCGGAGTCTGCAGCCAGCCCCATGACACAAAAACATGTATTGATAAACTCAAGGCAAACCACCTTGTTCAGGCAAAATGCCCAAATTGTTCCAAGGCACATCATGCCTGGAACTTGAAATGCCCTGAAAGGCTCAAAAGGCTTCAAACGAACCCCACCACGCCTACAGCGGAGCCGAAACCTCCACCAAAACGAATACCAGCTCCCATGCCCACTAAAACCGCATGGGGTCTACCCACTCAGGAAGAGGGGGCACACGGCCCTTCACCATCGGCCATGGTGAAGGGTGAGAAGTCCTCTGTACAGGACGAAAAGAAAGATGGAGGACACAAGAATCATGTTCAAAACAGTCGGCCTCCCATATCATCCAGCAAGCACACTGGGGCCAATAGGAGTAGCAATTCCAGTGTCAAAGTTACCACCGAGAAGGGTCTAAAAGCTACTAGGCCCCAAACCTGCACAGCATTAAATGGTGCTCCCACTGAACTGGACGCTCTCTGGCCAATGCTCAAAACTTTGGTCACTGAGTTGATCGAAAGTCTGCTGTCATCACATGGAATCAAGCAAACCAAAGAGACTCGGAAGACAATTGAGCACAGGCTCAAGAAATTCGAAGATGTTATATCAACACCGTCAAGACAGCAGGGCAAGAGACACCCCCATAAAAAACAGATAGAGTCCAGCTCGTCGGAAAGCGACATTGATGAGTCAATTTCAGGTCCACTAAGAACCTATACACCAATTGCAACTTCCATGGCGTGTTCATCAGACTCCATGGATACCACGGAATTATCAGCAAATTCCAAGAACCTAGAGGTCTAAAGATCCTGCAATGGAATGCGCAAGGACTGCGCACTAAATTGCAACACTTGCAATGCATAGCAGCAACCAAGGGCATAGACATCCTGATACTACAGGAGAGCTTGCTTCGAGCCGGATTAGAACCTAAAATCTCAGGCTATCGAGGCTTCTTCCTTCCATGGATCAATGGGCAATCCAGGGGATGTGCAATCTATGTAAAATGTGACCTGATCTCCAAGTCCATAACCAGCCCACCCAATTGTGGAATCCACGGGAGACATCTCCCGTCACGCAGGGTGCAGTCGCACCTCCACAGATCTCCAGTATCATCTATTGATACTGGTGATGGCTCAAAAGGGTCACCACATACGAGCTATTCATGCCTGTGCCACCTTTTGGGTGGCTTCATCTTCATCTTAACACATTCACAAGGGAGACATCTCCCGTCATGCAGGGTGCATTCGCACCTCCACAGATCTCCAGTATCAGCTCCTGATACTGGTAATGGCTTAAAATGGCCACCACTTACGGGCTATTTATGCCCGTGCCACCTTTTGGGTGGCTTCATCTTCATCTTAACACATTCATAAGGGAGACATCTCCCGTCATGCAGAGTGCATTCGCACCTCCACAGATCTCCAGTATCAGCTCTTGATACTGGTAATGGCTTAAAATGGCCACCACTTTCGGGCTATTTATGCCCGTGCCACCTTTTGGGTTGCTTCATCTTCATCTTAAACACATTCATAAGGGAGACATCTCCCGTCATGTAGGGTGCATTCGCACCTCCACAGATCTCCAGTATCAGCTCTTGATACTGGTAATGGCTTAAAAGGGCCACCACTTACGGGCTATTCATGCCCGTGCCACCTTTTGGGTGGCTTAATCTTCATCAATCAATCTGTAGGAATCAAGGAATCCATTCAACAACAAACAGACTACGAGGCAAGGTGAGTAGTGGGAGCTTATTAACATCTTCCCGGATGTAATTGTAATTGGATTTGTTTTCTTAGCTTTAATTCATAATTATGTGTTATTAACACAGTCCATCGTGTGTTATTTCATGTTAAATTTTGTTTAAAATGGTCCTTGTGTACAAGTTATTGCTTCTGGTCCCATATTAGCCCAGGATTTGCAGTCTGCAAAGTTACATGAAGCTGTTTTGACTCAATGCAATTACATTTTTATCAGTCTAATATAAGACTGTATAATTTCATATTTGTATGTAGTTTCAAGCCATATATGCTTGTGTTTTATTAAAATAAACACTTTCTTTACCACCAGATGAAGTTCTTGGCAGCATCAGTGTTGATTGCCGCTTTAGCTGTAATATCTGCAGAACGTTTCTATTCTGTTGTGTTGGAAGAGTGGGAGACATTTAAGGTAAGAATGTAAACAGAATTTATTAATAAAAGTTAGTTTGTTTCAAAATGGAGTTTTTGGGGTTATGTAGTGTAACGGTAGCAATCATTTGACATTGCACGGAAAATTTAAAGCACCCCGTTTTCTGAGTGGCTGATTTTAGGAAATATTGGCGTCACTTATTTTGAATTCAATACAAACATTCTAACCAATGGTCACTCCAGCATAATGATTGCTGAAGTCAATTATTAAGCACAGATGGCCTTGGATAGAGCCCTGAATTTATCAACCATTAAAAATTTAAGTGAAGTCAGAGATGATGGATGCTACTTGTGGAGTGCCATATGCACTTGTACTTTGCCCACGATTTTTCAAAATTTGTATAATTCTTTTCACTACCGTTGCTGTTGTAGTTACCAGCAATACTCTTATGCTGCTCCATATATGCCGTTTATGAAGAGCTTTTCTTATCAATAATTGATTTTCTTTTAGCTTGAATATGCCAAGAAATACACCACCGATGTCGAAGACAAATTCCGCATGAACATCTTCATGGAGAACAGA